GCCGATGGTGCTGATTTGATCACCCCCGACGGCCAGGAGGAAGTGGATACTGCTGAGAGGGCGATGGACTCGACAGCGGCACTGCTACCCCGGAATACGCTCGAGGATGGGTACTCGATATCCCGCGTGCTAACGCGCGAGGACCTGACCTCGAAAGAGCTGATCCTGTCGACCCAGATCTCAGCCATGGGCATCGGCATCGGATATATCGCGGGCCTGTTCTTGCAGTGCGTCGTCATCTTCATCCTAATCCAGATGAAGAACACGACATGGGCTCAGCGAGTGGTACTCTTTGTCATCGGCGCCTGGTGGGCAATCTTCACCGTCCCCGCCGCCATGTGGCTCCGTCCTCGGCCAGGGCCCCCACTGCCGGCATCGTCGAGCAAAAAGGGGATACGCGCATTCATCTCATACACCTTCTACGCCTGGAAGTCCCTCTTCCGCACCATAAAGCTTGCCCGCCGCCTCGTCGACATCGTCCTCTTCCTCGGCGGCTGGTTCCTCCTCTCCGACGCCATCGCAACCACCTCGTCCACCGCGATCCTCTTCGCCAAAACCCAGCTCCACATGGAGCCCTGGGCACTGGGCATGATCAACGTCATCTCCACAACCGCGGGCATCATCGGCGCCTTCTCGTGGTCCTACATCTCGCGCCGCTTCGGCCTGCAGGCCCACCAGACCATCCTCGCGTGCATCGCGCTGTTTGAGCTCATCCCCCTCTACGGCCTGCTCGGCTACCTGCCCGCCGTCCGGAACTGGGGTGTCTTCGGCCTGCAGCAGCCCTGGGAGATGTACCCGCTGGCCGCCGTCTACGGGTTCGTGCTGGGGGGCCTCAGCGGCTACTGCCGCTCGCTCTACGGCGAGCTGATCCCGCCCGGGTCCGAGGCCGCCTTCTTCGCGCTGTACGCCATCACGGACAAGGGGTCGAGCGTGTTTGGGCCGGCGATCGTGGGCGCCATCATTGACGCGTCGGGGGACATCCGGCCGGCGTTTTGGTTCCTGGCCGCGCTGGTCGGGTTTCCGGCGCCGCTGATCTGGTGCATCAATGTGGAGAGGGGGAGGTCGGAGGGGGAGAAGCTGGCCCGGATTATTGAGGGGTTTAAGCTGAGGCAGGCGGAGAGTGGGACTGGGGGGGAGAGTGATGAGGACCGTCACGCGGCTCTGGACGCGTACGCTGTGGAGACGGGTCGGAGGTGAGGTGATGATACCTGCGGGGATGAGGGCCAACTGGTGGAAGGGCCAAGGCAACTGTTTGTGCGGTTTTGTATTTCATGTGATTGACGGATGCGGATGTGCATAGCGCCGGCGTTGGTTGATTGGGTGTGTTGGTTGGACAGGATGCAGCGTTTTAGGCGCAGCTGGCTTTACCGTCCTGTAATGTAATATGTTGGGTGTGGTTGGCGTGGAATGATGGTGGAAAGAGGCATTGTCTGCGAATGGCTATGTATCTATTCTCAACCTCATGTAAAGGAACGGTAGTGCTGTTATTCCGTGCTGATTTCAAACGTGAATCGAGGAATTGGATCGAATGAGAAAATGTCACTGAGAGGTCCTTGAGTTTGTGATCCGCCGCCTAACAAACAAGTACAGCAGACCACCAACTTGGAAGTTTGATAGAAAAAGGAATGCCGCTGAAAGCAACAGACCAACCTGTTGGCCCATGCTTTTCAACCTTCAGACGGGAGCTGGGTCCAGAAATGCCGAACCCCATTCCTTGGCGGAGTCCAGATCTGCCCAGCCACAGCTTTTCCCCCATTTCCCCTCTGCAGCTCCTCATGCTAGGCAAGATCACGTGGCTGGGTCCCATGCATTTCCGGGTCCCGGGTGGCGGACGCGATCTCGGGAAATTTTGCTGGCATCTTCATTGCGACAATAGCGCTGCTATCGCCCATTGACGCACGAGCATCGCCCATCTGGGCCGCAACGAATAGGGGGGACTCATTCGACAGCCGCGACCGTCCCTTTCACGCCCGGAAGGCGCCCAGGAGAGCCTGTTAGGCCCGGTCGCTGCATCCCAGAGCAGCTGCCGCATCCTCCATCGGCGCTTTCCCAGCCACTGCATACCAGGTACCTAGCTCCCACGCTACGCTCCCGCACTTCTGCGCCGCCGTTGGGCCCCATCAGCTTCATCGAGGGCTGACGTATCTCCGAACCACCCAGGCAACCAGCAATCTCGAGTCTTCTTCCCCGGCGCATCAATCAAACTCCAGTTCCCCCCATCCCAGCCTCCGCACGGTCGCGATCCCGAACCGGTGTCTTTTTGGTCCCGCCGCCCTCACCAACCACCTCGATCACTCGCCAGCCATGACATCCTCGCGCAAGAGGCCGAGGGCCGAACCCGAGCTCGACAACCGGGCAGAATGTCCATTTTCCATCAAGACCGTCGACCCCAAAGACAGGGAGCAGAAGAAGAAGAAGCGCAGGCGCACGCAGAATGGCGAGGAAGATGACACAAGCTTGAGGATCAACTTGCAACCCTCGCCCTTTGCACCATGCGGCAAATTCAAGACACACCAGACCATGGACCTCCATTACTACGTCGATCCGACCAAGAGATGGACCGACATGACAAGGTACAACAGCTTCGTCCGTAAGTGCAATGCTGTTCATCCCATGCGACGCGCCCGCCCTGGACTGCTGCGGACTAACAGACTCGTCCGCTCTGTCGCACAGTCAACGGAGTAAAATACTTTAGCGAAGGCTTCATCTACGTCGCAAACGACTCCAGCATCGAGCGCCAAAAATCCAGCAATGAGCCGATGCACCCCATGACGAAGTCCGACGACGACTGGGTCGCCCGCATCCTGGAGATCCGCGCCAGCGACGAACACCACGTATACGCGCGAGTCTACTGGATGTACTGGCCCGACGAGCTCCCACAAGGGACGCACGACGGCAAGAAGGTAGTCCACAGCCGCCAACCATACCACGGCATGAACGAGCTGGTCGCGTCCAACCACAGTAAGCGTTTTCGAACAGGTGGCGCAGTTGGCAGTCGAGCCGGTGCTAACCGGGCGCAGTGGATATCATCAATGTGGTCAGCGTCACCTCGCAAGCGCAGGTGAAGCAATGGTACGAAGAGAATGACGAGGAGATACAAAACGCCCTGTACTGGAGGCAGGCATTTGACGTCAGGACATACGAGCTTTCGGTGCGCAACCCCCCCTTATCTGTAATCAGGATACCTCCTAACCCCTGCCACGCAGACGGTCGAGATGGTGTGCAGCTGCAATACCCCGGCGAACCCAGACAAGATGCTAGTTGGGTGCACAATGGATAACTGCAGGAAGTGGATGCACGAACAGTGCATCTTGGACGATGCCCTCAAGGCAACATACGACCGCCTGGGCGCCGACAAACCACACCTGGCCCCAGTAACGACTAAGAAAGAGGAGGAAGATGCCGACGAAGCGAAGCGGCCACCCAGCCCCACCGAAACCAGCGGCGACGCTTCCACGCAGCATTCGATCGATGTTAAAGCCGATGCCGAGACGGACGCGGTCCATGTTGGCACAAAAGACAATGTCGAGGTCAAGCAGGCCGACGACGAGGATGCGACAACAGCGCCCGAAGATTCTGTTGCCGAGCGATCCGCCGAGCCGCAGGCAACGAACGACAAGGCGAGCACAGATACACGGCGTAAGCCAACAACGGCAGGCAAGACAACACTGAGCCGAAAGCCGGGCAAGGCACGGAAGAAGGGGGAAGTGAACGGCGACAGCTCGAGGCCGTGGGAGGGGCTCTTCGAGGCGACCCTTAAGATGGCCAACATTGGGCCGCCCATGATCGAGTTCAGGGACCTGCGCGATGGTGTCGCTGGCGACAAGACGTGGGCTGAACATGTAAAGTGTCTGCTATGTGGAACCGAAGTCAATTAGAAATCCTCTCGGTTTTGGCCGAGGGACAGCGTCAGCGGCCACGGCCGTAGTGAAGAGGAGGACCGTGATATCGTCGATGGCGACGGCCACGCGGACGGGGAGCATGGTGTCGACCGCGAAGATGGGGAGCGTGGCGACGACCACGAGGATGATAAGGACGGCAGCGACGATGGCAGCCACATCAACGACCATGATGTCGACATGTCGACGCTGCCATCAGACGTCGGGCCGCGAACAGGAACTTACCTCACAGGCCCACTTCCCGCCTAGGAAGAGCGGCGGAAAGTGGTGGTATTGAGGAGATTGTGTCAGGCGGTATGCGGACAGAAAGCATACCCGACAAGCTTGACTGGGTTCTGGTCTGAGATTGTGGGGAGATTCTCCATGGGGCCTTCAGGTTACTTGTGAGAATAGGAGAAAGGAAGATGGGGTTAACCTTTCTGATCGGCGAGGAGGTCTCTTTTGGAATTATCACCCTGTTGGAGATGACAGGGCAGACAGGATGTGGTTGGGAACCACTAGTCTCTCCCCTATCCCAGCGCTCTGAGTCCTTCACCTCTTCGAGATGGCACCGACATACGTTTTAGCACCTACTACATTTACCCAATTAGCCAATATCGATGTAGGGATCTTTTTTTCTCCATGGTTTCCAGGGACAAGACAGCCAGGAGATGGATCACGGAGCAACTTTAGCCATATTTCTGTTCTAATGTTGAGAGGGATGTTCTCCATTTTTCTGCTCCCTTGAATGTCTCCCTTTCCTCTCTACATTAGGACGGTAGATGCTTCACATGGGTTTCGGTATCTTCTACTTGTTTCCATCTCCTATAAGCTATATCTATCAAGCCGGCCGTGCATCCATTTCCTGAAGTACTTGTTGTCTTGAAACGGAGGGGAGAGTTCGAGACTGCATGAATTGAACAAATATATCTTATTCTTTCTCTCTGTGTCACTCAGGTGCTTCCATTGATTCAGTCCATTTCACTATGTAGCTCAGAAGCCAACCAACCACCTTGTGTACGGAGTACAGACTGGTTCCGTTGAAACACTCACCTCCCACGTACGGTCCCTTACAAGAGACAAAAATAGAATAGATTCATATGCTCAGTAAACAAAAGGTAATGATCGCGGCAGGGCTCGAACCTGCGATCCTCTGCGAAACCGAACAAGATATGTCTGTAAAGCAGATGCCTTAACCACTGGGCCACGCAACCTGGATGATTGGTTGGCATTTCTCAGAAAATGGTTTTGTCAGACGGGGATAGCCCCCTGACGCATTCGATTGGCTCCCCTCCGATCCAGGACCCAGTCGTCGGGGACACTGAATTGATTCGCAGCTCACGCGATTCAACGCCTGATCCAGCAAGAGCAGAACAACCCAAATAAACACCATGAAATACCTACGGGCTGCCAACACTCTACTGCGCCACAATGCGGCCACCAAATTGTCCTTACCAAGGTCCGTCCGAGACCCAATGGCTTACTCGTCCAAGCACAGCACAGGCTAACAAACATATCTCGCCAGGACCGCTTCGTCCCTAGCAGTACAAAACCCACTACGGCCGACCACCACATGCCGATTGGCCTCGCGCACCCTCGCCGTCCGACCCTTTTCGCACACGGCAACATGGCAAAAGAAAAAGGGTAAACACGGCTCGAAAGACGCCGCACACACCACCTCCACCTCCACCACCACCTCCGCCGCCAGCAGCAGCAGCAATGCCTCGGGGGGGGCCGGTGCGGGCGAGCAAGACCCCTTCGACCTGACCGACGTCACGGACGCGTTCGAGCGCGCCGACAAGCGGTACATGGAGGAGCTCAAGAAGCTGCGGTCGGGCGGGCGGTTCAACGCGGACGGGATCGGGGCGATCCCGGTGCTGGTGGACAAGCACTCGGCGCAGACGTTCCCGCTGCGGGAGCTGGCGACGGTGGCGCCGCTGGGCGGGCGGCGGTGGAGCATCCTGGCGTTCGAGGAGGACAGCGTCAAGGCCATCGTCAGCGCGGTGCAGCGGTCGGACGAGTTCAACCAGCAGCCGCAGCGCAGCGACGAGAACCCGCTCGAGCTGACCATGACGGTGGAGCCCGAGCGGGCCGAGGCGCTGGTCAAGCGCGCCAAGGACGTGTGCCAGGCGTGGCGGACGCGGGTGCGCGACGAGGCGCACCGGCGGACCGAGATGAATAAGAAGTGGAAGGCCGAGGGGGTCCTGCTGGACGACGGGTTCCACGGGCTCAAGACCAAGCTGCAGAAGCTGCAGGATGAGCGGATGAAGGTGATCTTGGCCAAGGAGAAGGAGGCGGTGCAGCAGATCACGGCTCGCGGGAGCTAGGCTGGGTGTTTGGGATAGGTGGACGGCGGAGAATAATTGCGTCTATAAATGGATAGATACCTCTCTGCACATGTAGACTAGAACAAAAACACGGCGCCGGGTACGATAATGTTACAACATGAGCCTCTTGCTCCCGAAGCTCCCTCCCCCCCTTCTCCATCAGGCCTTCTTCTTGGGCAGCAGCGACTCCACCTTGTCCATGAACCGTTGCGAGTCCGACGCCTTGTAGGTGTAGGTCCGGCCGTGGTAGTTGGCCATGGTGGCGCTGGTGTCGGCCAGCTGGGCATACGTGGTCGTCTCATACTTGCCGAGGATGGCGGTGTCGACAATGGCCTTCTTGATCTCGGCGCTGGGCTCAGAAACCTGGTACTTGGGCTTTGCGCGCTCGATCCACGCCTTCTCCTCGGCACTGTGCACGAAGATGGGCTTCTTCTCGTCGTACCGCTTCATGATGGCCGTCACATCGGCCGTGGCGTCCGATTCCGCGTTGAAGCCGATGCCGCCCGTCATGAGGCGCATCGTGCGAATGGCCGTCTCGACCTGGCCCAGCGGCACGTCTGTCGCAATGGCCGCGCCGTACCCGCTCAGCGACTCGTGCGTCATCTTGGGATCAAACGGCACCACCACGCCCTTCTCCAGCCGATCCACCAGCGCCTGCTCCTCAGGCGTGAAGGTCATCTTCCCACCCCGGTCTTCACGCCTTGAATTGTCCTTCCCACCCCTCCCACCCCTCCCACCCCGGCCCCGTCCGCCCCGGCCCCGTCCACCCCGCCCCCGCCCCCCGGGCCCTCCCCCTCCCCCAAATCGACCCCCACCACCAAAACCGCCCCTGGCCCCGGCGGGCCCCCCGCCGCGGAACGACGTGCCGAACCCCGTGCGCAGCCCGTCACCACCAGCCGCGCCGGCAAACCGGCCCGGCCCGTCACCGCCACGGCCGCGGCCGCGGAACCCGGCGCCGCCGCGCAGGCTGCGCAGGTTCAGCACGCGCGGCGCGCCCGCGACGCCCGCGCCGGGCGCGACGCGCAGCGAGCGGGCATCGACGATCCCAGCGCCGGCCCCGCCGCGCGGGACAAAGCGGCCCCGAGGCGCAAAGGAGCTGCCGCCGCCGCCGCGGGTCGGTTCGCCGCCGACGAATGGTTCGGTGCGCTTGCTGAGGTTGGCGAGTTTCTGGGCGGCGGCGGAGGAGCGGTCGCGGCCGTTGGGGGCTGGGTTGGAGGAGGAGGAGGGAGGGGGCCGGTCGCTGCCGTTGCTGTCGGCGGCAGGGCGAGCGGTGGTGGTTGAGAAGGACGCGGTCGGTGTCGGTGCGGCTGTTGGGATGGGTCTGGCGGCGAAAAAGGTCGCTGGTGTGCTGCTGGCGACGCCGCGCGCGGCTTGGATGGCCTGGCGGCTCATCATTGTGAAGGCTTGCTGGCGCTGTTTGGTTGTTTGGCTGGCAGGTGGCCCTCAGGCTCGAGGGTTGGAGGTTCCAGTAAGTTTGGCCGTGGGCGTCGGTCGGTCGGGAAAAGGGTTGAAAATGTTAATTGGTGGCTGCGATTGGTGGATGGAGCCGGCAGTGGAGCGGCCTGGGATCCCTGCGTTTGGCTGAGGCAAGAGGGCTTGGCATTTCGACATGCTCCCCTTTTCCTCAATCCCCTAAAGTCAACAACAGAACCACAACTCCCAACAAGGAGAGCAGTTTTAGCGAGTATAACACCGCTTCCAAATCACAACATCTCAATATCAGTTGGCGCTAACCCCTGAAGAAAGGTGTCTGCCTGGGTGAAATGTATGTTCCGCTTTCTACAGTTTTCAGGTCCTGTGAAGCCGAAATTTAGTCAACGGTGGATTGTATCCCATCTTCAGGTTCATACAGGTGGTGGAATGCTACTGTTTGGCGTCGAGACTTTGGTAAAAGTCGTGTGGCGGGGTGCGGAGGCGGATTGCGGGTGTTGGCTGCTGCTGTTTTGGTGCTGGGTGGTGGGGATTGTTTGCCGACGTGACGTTGGTTATGATGGTGGGTTTGACGTTGAGGAGTAATTTGCATGGGTCTTTTCGGGGGTCTATAAGAGGTCTTAAGATGAGCCTGTTGTTTTGCCTGGTGGGTTCTAAGGGGTTGGTCTTGCATTTTTCAATTTGTCCATTGATGCTTCCTGCTTCATATAACAACGCCTGTCACCCGACCGCGGTTCGGTTACGGAAGGCTGGGAGGTCAAGGGCTGCACTCTTTCGATGATCAAGGTACATTTCATTCAACTTCTTGCCCCTCGTCTATTTTTGTGTTGCCCATTGTACATTCACACGCCGGAGCGGCCCGTTACTAGGGGTGGGCTGGGCCGCTGGCCGAGCAATGGAGGATTGTTGGACTTGCTGCCACCGCCCCGAACATTGGCTGAGGTGTCTTGGGTGCTCAAGTCTGAGAACTGGATACTTCGTCACTCCCCCCGACAGCGCCGCATCTTATGCTGTCTTCTTTCCCTTTTCCAGCTGCTTCAACGCATTCGCCGCTCTGACGGACGCCTTGATGCTAACCTTGACAAGAACTGCATGTTCCATTAGTTCGCACTTCGAATCCCAACGTTGTCAGTTGGAAAAAGACACATACCGGCTGGGATGACAATCCAGAAGAAGTTCATGAGGAAGTAGTATCCCCAGAAATAGTAGCGCTCCGGGCGCGAGTACGAGATGCCAGCGATGTAGTGGTCAAACATGCTCGTACCGTAGTAGAGCACATCGCCGTAGATCTGGCCCAGCGAGACAATAATTTGCAGCGGATGGCGCAGGGGATGCTCGGTCGTAATCATGTAGGCGATGGCAAACGACAGCGGGCCCCAGCAGACGGCCGTGATGGTCTCCATGCACAACACAAAGGGGTCCTGGGTCAGGTAGCGCGAGTCAGAGAGCGAATATTCCTTCCAGAGCTGGCCGAAGACGGTCTGCAGGCCGCCCATGGCGCGGAAGTTGTAGACATAGTACTGCCAGCAAATGTCAGCTTACTGTTCTTTTTATTTTACATCATTTTTATTATAGATTCCTGCTTACGCCCTCAAAGAAAGCATGGATGCAGCCGCAAAGCACAAACCAGAGGACGGTCAGGAGCTCCGAGGTGCGCAGGCGGGACGACCCTGCACGCATACGCGTGACAATGGCATAGGTGAATGCAAAGACCGCGGCGCAGCCCGACGCGAAGAAGGCAAGCAGAGTGGGCACTGAGTGTTGGTTGGCTAGGTAGCCGATGATTTCGATCTCAAGGGGATAATACGGGTGAGAGGGGGTTGACGGGTCAGTGGACGCCATGTTTGCGATGGGCGCGATAGGCGCAACTGATTGCGCTGAAGAGCCACGTACTTGACGGTTGAGGTTGGGAAAACGCGTTGGGGGGCGGGGATCGCGTTTCTTTTCTAGAGAAAGTATCAGAAATTGGTTGGTTTCTACGTGTCGGATGGAAGCGAGGCCACTGCGACGCGCAATCATCAGGGGTTCGGGCGCTTGGCACAGAAGATATTCACAAGACACAATTACAAAGTAAACAAGATATCACCGGCCGTTGCTACTGCAGTCACCAAGGGTCGGGTATCACAATATTGTGGATACTCCCACCAATTCTACAGAGGCCTGCATTTGCCCAGTCTTACGGATACTGGAAGTTACACAACTGAGGAAGAACAAGGGGGGGGAAGAAAGAAGGAATGTTCAATTCGCAATTGGAGAAGGCCCGGCCTTGGCAGCTTGACGCCGGGAGGCTGGGCGGCCGGGGGGTCTGGGCTTTTGCTTCAGCTGAGTGAACTGACAGGGGCTTCCTGCCCGCTGGAGCTCAACCCCCGCAGCACCACAGGGATGTATCAGTGGGTCCGCAACCAGCCAAGCAGCGACCTCCTTTTCAGCATTGGATGTTTGAATGCCATTTATCT